GAAAAAATAATCCGGAAACTACTCGAACACTTCGATTAAAAAAAATAATAATAATAATAATTAAATTGCTTGTAACTTAAGTGATTGATAACTAGTCAGTTGTCAGCATTATTACTCGAAATAAATTAGGCGATGGCCCATATACCATATAGTCCACATAATAAATAATAAAATCAATCACATCCTCTACCAAAATTATTACTTGATAAAGCTTTAACTTTCTGGGAAAATTAAGAAACCCTAAATTAAGTTTAAGAACCTGATTAATTTATCAACTTAATTAAGCTTAAACAAACAACATATAAAGGAAGGGAAAAAAAAAAAAAAAAAGAACTTGCTTTATATATATATATCTCATAAAATCCACATAAAACAAACAACCCAGATGGACTTAATTATACATACTAATCACCCATTAATTAACTCTATTATTTACAAAACCATATATGTGTTATTGATTAGTTAATTACCTTTTTTTTTTTATCTAAAATATATTGATTTATTTCTCAGAACCAGCTATCCAGAAAGCTAGACTGGAACTGCACAAGAACAAGAAGCAACAAGATTATGGCGGCCACACCCCACGGTGAGCTTCCCTCCGACGGCTGGTAGTGGGTCCGGCGGCGCTTGTCCCAAGGCGAGGAAGAGGTGAAGTACATGTCTGAGTATTCCATGGATGACAGCCAACGAACGAGCAGAATCAACAAAACCGGCGTGGCAAAAAGCACCCAACTGAGCTGTTCTTCGGCCGTTTCAAGAGCTTCCTCGTAGCTGAAATAAGACGATATGCCAAGAAAGATTAATGGGAGGGCTAAGAGCAAGAGAACTGGGTAGGGAAGTGGGCTCAGACTGAATGAATCAAAGATGCTGCTCCTTCTGTAATACCCCATTTGAGTTTTCTGGTTTAAGTTTGAAGACGAAGAAGTTGGAAGCTCTTTAAGTTTTGGTTTTGACAAGTTCAAAAGTTTGGTAAGAATATAGAAGGTTTTGGAGTTTATAGTTGAAACTTAAAATTGTGGCCGTTTGATTTACTGGGTTGCCTGCTATAGAATTAACTTGTACTGCCTGATTCCGACCGTTGATTTCTTGATGTAGTTCCTAATAAAAAAAAGTGCTTTTGAGTAAAAAATAAAAATTAAAAAAATATTATACTTATAACCCAATCTCATATAATTTCTCTCACAGTCCTTAGATGGCAATCCCAGTTTTTTGCTTATAAATTTCCCAAAATTCAAAATTTATTAGCAAAAAACTGGAAGTTGCCACCCACTGATTATGAGATTCAAAAATATTATGGGTCCGTTTGATTTATTATTATGATACTTTTTAGAATAATATTTTGAAAAAAGTTAAATTGGGTGAGTGTTACGATGTAGGATTTGAAAATTAATAAAAATACCTTTTATTTTTATTTATTTACTAAACACTCTTATAATAAAATATTATAAGTTAACAAAAACACTCCCAACCCATCCATTAAATACAAACAGCCGACCACTACCGCCGAAGAGTTGTTGGAATGTTTTTGTAATTTCTAAAAAAAAATTTAAGGGTATTTAGTTAAATTAACAAATTTAAAGGGGTTTAAAAGAAATTAAATAATATAAAATAATATTTTGAGAATAAGTCAATTTTACTGTTTAACTTTATTACTAATAATAGTATTCCCAAGAGTGTAACAAACGAAGCCTATATTTACAATCCAATCTCACAACCCTAATATGACAATAAAGTTGATACTACTATATCAACTGATAACTTTAACTAAACAAAAACAGTCGTTTTTAAGAAATAAACGATCATTCATTCATAAAAAATAGTTGTTTTATTCATAAGGAATGGTCGTCTATTCTTTTATAAAGAATAATCATTTTTTATGAATGAATGTTGTTCTTTCATAAATAATAATTATTTCTTATAAAAGAATGTATAATTATTCGTATTTAATCAAAGTTATTTAGTATCTTGATATGATGAAAGTTGATGTTATAATTATTAGTTTAATTATTACGATAAAGTTATAAGAGAAGATAACGAGATTGTAACATAAACCTAATATTACTCTCTCTCTCTCTCTCTCTCGTTTTCAAAAAGTGTTTTTATTTTATTTAATTAAACATTTGTATATAACGTTAAATGTATTTGACTAATAAAATAAGTGCTTTTTGAGGTCCAAAAAAGCACTTATGTAGGCCATTAAGAAGTCAATCTAACGGTGGTGGCACTAATAGAATAAATACAAATCAGTGCAAACCCCAAGCAGGTCACTTCAACTTAACCTACTTTCCCAGCCTGCCTTATATAAAACAATTTACCCAAGATGATAAAACATTGAAAATTATAATACGAAAAAGACAGTTATCTATCGAATTTATGTATCGAATGACATAATCAAATTCTGACTATCGATTAATATTAAATTAAAATTAATTAACGGTTAAGATTTTATTATGTTATTCGGTATATGAATTTAGTATACTACTTCGATGAGTATAGTATTACTCATTATAATATAATTAATCTAACTGGGTGCTATAGAATTAACTTGTACTGCCTGATTCTGATCGTTGATTTCTTGATGTAGTTTCTTAATAAAAAAGTGCTTTTGAGTTTGAGTAAAATAAAGGAGTAATGCTACAGCCACTGATGGTAGTGTACCAAATTTATATACCGAATAACGTAGTAAAATCCTAACCGTTGATTAATACTAAGTTAAAATTAATCAATGGTCAGGATTTTACCACATCATTCGATGCACTACCGTCGGTAGCTGTATTATTTTTCAAAATAAAGAAGACGATATTACACTTATAACACAATCTCATAAATTTTTCTCACAACCCTTAAATGGCAATCTCCAGTTTTTTGCTTATGAATTTCCCAAAATTCAAAATTTATCAGCAAAAACCTAGGAGTTGTCATCTAGAGATTGTGAAAGAGAGTTTGTAAGATTCAAAAATACTATATTTACAATTAAATTTCACAACTTTATCAATATTGGACCACGACGCATATGGTAGGGTGATAATTCAATAATATAGTAAACGGTTTTTTCATCCAAGGTTGCCTTAATGACGTTTTCCCACTTAAAAAGTTTCAAAATATCAGTTTTCGTCCAAAGTTTAATTCTGTTAATATCCAAAATATACTTATTTTTTCAGCCAGTATTCAACGAGTTACTAGCAAACCAGTGTAAGAGGTGTTTTGTAAGTAGAGGTCATGGATCGACGGTGGTGAACGAGATGAATATTATCATACGGAATCAACTAAAAATTAGCTCAGAATAGAAAAACCTAGTTTTATGATGACGATAATCGGTGAGAAATCAGATACTATAATGAGAAGGGCTTTGTAGAGAAGAGACTGAAGGTTCAAATGATAGTAACGAAAAAAAATTTTGCTATTGAAATCGATCAGAACGGTTTTAGGTATTAAATGAATATAAACATGGATTAAAAAAAAAATGATATTTTAAAACTTTTGAATGAAAAAGTGTCATTAAGGCAAACCTTGGGTAGGAAAAAGTGTTTTGTTCTTCAATAATATATGGTTTCTCATTTTGAAACCGACATTCTTCATTCTTACCGTAGCCGTAGGTTTATCAATTAATAATTGAATTATCAACTAAGGGCTAAAACAGGAATTTCTCAGTTACCTTAGCCTTTGAGGTTTTATATGAACAAATATAAAGATTTTTAGGATATTTAGTCATAAAGTAGTTTGACTATCTAGTCCCTTCTTTATTTAAACTAAAGAAAACGAAAAAAATAAAAAAGTTATGTCGGTAGTACTAAAAACAATAATCACTCTTGCTTTTAGCCACTCATGTTTTGAGGCAATAAATGAGTGAAGATATTAATATTAGACCACCTTAGACACTCAAAACCTAATTACTATAACATCTCATTTATCATCTTTATTATTTAAACATTTTGCTTGAAAAATCGTCCTGGATGATCGGATGAAAGATTTATTCGATCGTTAACTTCAAGAATCCGAAAAATTAATTGGTGTATACAAACTGGTCTAAACACCCACAAAAAAAAAAAAAAAAAAAAAAAAAAAAAAAAAAATGCTTCAATGATAACTTGTTAACATTATTCTTACCCACTTTAGACACTTTAAAAATCAAACCTAATTACTATTAACATCAATTTGTCATCTTTCTTTTAATTAATATTTTGCTTGAAGAACCACTCCTGAGTGATCAGATGAGACGATAAAAACTTTTGTATATATTATAGAGATCTCTCTATATTAATAGAGGTAACGAATAAAGGTTTAACCGATCGTTAACTTTAAAACCCTGAAAAAATAATCAACAAAACTACTCTTCCATGCCCGTTAGACTGTAAAAAAATCAAAACCTAATTCCATTAACATCTAATTTGCCATCTTTCTTTTAATTAACATTTTGCTTGAAAAATCATCCAATACAACGATAAAGACTTTGGTATATTACTTAAAAGAATTAACCGATCGTTGAACTTTAAAACCTGAAAAAATAATCCGGAAAAATACTCGAACACTTCGATTAAAAAAAATAATAATAATAATAATTAAATTGCTTGTAACTTAAGTGATTGATAACTAGTCAGTTGTCAGCATTATTACTCGAAATAAATTAGGCGATGGCCCATATACCATATAGTCCACATAATAAATAATAAAATCAATCACATCCTCTACCAAAATTATTACTTGATAAAGCTTTAACTTTCTGGGAAAATTAAGAAACCCTAAATTAAGTTAAGAACCTGATTAATTATCAACTTAATTAAGCTTAAACAAACAACATATAAAGGAAGGGAAAAAAAAAAAGAACTTGCTTTATATATATATACTCATAAATCCACATAAAACAAACAACCCAGATGGACTTAATTATACATACTAATCACCATTAATTAACTCATTATTTACAAAACACATATATGTGTTATTGATTAGTTATTACCTTTTTTTTTTTATACTAAAATATTACTTCGTTAAGTCGGCGACAAGCTGCTCATTCTGGGAACACAAAATATGTTTCATCAGTCCATTCTACTCCACTGCTTCGATCAGTTTTGTTTTTCAATCCTGATCGTGAGACTCTCTTTGTAAAGCATCTGAAAGTTATATGCTTCAAACTCAGATTACTAAGGGTGCTAGATCTTGAGGATACAAGAATTGAACCCTCCAGTACAAAAGGAAATGTTTTGATGTTGCCAGATGCAATGGGAAAGCTGATTCACCTGAGGTATTTCGGGTTCAAAAGCAGTAGCATAGTGGAGTTCCCATCATCCATAAGACACTGGAGGAGCCTAATTGCCCTGGTTGCAACTGGTAATTCTCCCTGCAAGCTACCTACTGATATAGCTAAGCTTCATCAGTTAAGACACCTCATAGCATGTCCTCATGGAAACCTTCACGTCAGCGCTTTAACAAGCCTCCAGACTCTGAGGTATGTAAATTATCGACAATGGGTTGAAATTGATGCAGCAAATCTAATTAATCTGCGAGAGTTGGAGATTCGGGAGATACCTTATGCAGATATGAAGTCCATTTGGCAATTAAAACGCCTACAATCTTTAACATTGCAGACAAAAACATCCTTTGTTAACCTGCATCTCCTTTCTCAATGTCAACATCTCATCAAACTGAAGTTGGAGGGAAAAATAGATGATCTTCCGGGGAACAGGGATGAATTTCCACCAAATCTCACAATCTTGATTTTATATGGCTCAGCACTGAAGGAAGATCCAATGCCAATACTAGAACACTTGCCAAGCTTGAGTATTCTTGACATGGGAAAAAACTCATTCCTAGGATACAAAATGGTTTTCTCTGAAACAGGATTTTCTCAACTCCAAGTTCTACGGATTTCTTGGTTGTGGCTCTTAGAGACGTTAGAGGTGGAGTCAGGAGCTATGCCTAGACTCAAGCATTTCAGCGTTGAAGATTGCAAAAATCTAACGACAGTCCCTGAAAGATTGAGGATGCTTCCACTTCCCCAAGAATGGTAATGCAACCATATGTCTCTGGCCAAGGCATCAATGGGCACTTGGCCTCATATAGGTGAGTTTTGCTTTCTCTATACTGAGTGTGTTTAAAGTTTGAACTATTTTCTTCTTCTGTTTCCAATTCATATATGCTTAGAACAATTTTATACTTGGATATTAATGTTGGATCCTCACCTTGTAAGCTTAGAGGTCAAACGATAATTTGATATCAAAGACAAATTTCGACGTGAATTCACATATTGAACTTAAATATTAATGTTGAGTTCTTACCTGATAACTTAAATTTTTAGATCAAATGGTAGCTTAACCGAGTATCATTACGTGGGAGGATTTATCAAACTTAAATATTAATGTTAGACTCTTACATGATAACTTAAAAGTTTTAGGTCAAAAATCATAACTTAATAGTCAAGAGGAAAGAGGTGCCCATATTGAGTACCATGTTTGGTTTTCTGAGTTATATAGTGATGCATTTTGAAAGGTTTCACTCAGATACTCAAGTACTATAAATCTGTAAATTATCAGATAACTTACTATCCTGAGCATGATAAAACTTAATCCCAGCAGCAAAATACTAAGTTTATTGAAGATGCAGGTGTTAAAACTATAGCCCTTGTGCTTAAAGATTACCAAAAACTTAAGAATCTGGCAATTTCATGGAAATTTAATTTGGTATCAAACAGTTGAGTGTGCACACGTCCAAACCAAAAAGTTCTTCAAGAGAGACTCTACACTCAAAGAATTTATCCCAAACCAAACTTTACATCAAACCAAATCAACCCTTTTAAGTAACCACTAGTATAAATAAACCACTCAATCCCAAAACACAAGTTAAACAAAACCCAAAACTTCAAAACAAAAATGGATTGGTTCTACCCCAAGAGAAGAGGTCCACAGTGGAAACAAGGCTGGACAAACCAAACCTTCACCTCAATTTCATCACCACCACCAGCATTGCTTACAATTTTTGGCATTGTTTTTATCTTATTGTGGGTATCTCAATACACAGGCTACAAGGCTCAGTTGCACATCACAACAGTCAACTTTCAGCTATTTCTCTTCCTGTTGCCACTTCTATTGATTCTCTTAATAGCTTCTTATTCTTCCGGTGGAAGTTACGGCTTCCGGCTACCACGGCTCAACCGTGGACCGATGTACCAGTCGGCTGCAGGGGGCATCCCATGGGGAATTGTCAGCCTAGTGGTGGTGCTTCTGGTTTTGGTCTCTTATCAGTCTTCATTTCATTCAAAGTGGCTTGGAGGAAGTTAAGTTAGTTATATTGTAAGACACAAAATTATGAAGTTGTACTTGTATTGACGTATTGAGTCACATAAATTTAATTAAATTTTACATAGTTTGAATGTTTTAATAGTGTAATTAAATAATTGAATTGATTATTAAATTGATGTATGGAAAGAGGAGGTGAAGCACTAATCTTAATGGGCCAGCCAGGCCTTGAATAAATATTGGACCACGAAGCATATGGTAGGTGTTGATAATTCAATAATATAGTAAACGGCTTTTTTCCATCCAAGGTTTGCCTTAATGACGTTTTCCCACTTAAAAAGTTTCAAAATATCAGTTTTTCGTCCAAAGTTTATATTCTGTTAATATCCAAAATATACTTTATTTTTTCAGCCAGTATTCAACGAGTTACTAGCAAACCAGTGTAAGAGGTGTTTTGTAAAGTAGAGGTCAATGGATCGACGGTGGTGACCGATTGAATATTTATCATCGGAATCAACTAAAAATTAGCTCAGAATAGAAAAACCCTAGTTTTATGATGATCGATAATCGGTGAGAAATCAGATACTATAATGAGAAGGGCTTTGTAGAGAAGAGACTGAAGGTTCAAATGATAGTAACGAAAAAAAAATTTTGCTATTGAAATCGATCAGAATCGGTTTTAGGTATTAACTGAATATAAACATTGGATTAAAAAAAAAATGATATTTTAAAACTTTTTGAATGAAAAAGTGTCATTAAGGCAAACCTTGGGTAGGAAAAAGTCGTTTGTTCTTCAATAATATATGGTTTCTCATTTTGAAACCGACATTCTTCATTCTTACCGTAGCCGTAGGTTTATCAATTAATAATTGAATTATCAACTAAGGGCTAAAACAGGAATTTCTCAGTTACCTTAGCCTTTGAGGTTTTATATGAACAAATATAAAGATTTTTAGGATATTTAGTCATAAAGTAGTTTGACTATCTAGTCCCTTCTTTTATTTAAACTAAAGAAAACGAAAAAAATAAAAAAGTTATGTCGGTAGTACTAAAAACAATAATCACTCTTGCTTTTAGCCACTCATGTTTTGAGGCAATAAATTGAGTGAAGATATTAATATTAGACCCACTTTAGACACTCAAAACCTAATTACTATTAACATCTCATTTATCATCTTTCTTTTATTTAACATTTTGCTTGAAAAATCGTCCTGGATGATCGGATGAAAGATTTATTCGATCGTTAACTTCAAGAATCCGAAAAATTAATTGAAGTGTATACAAACTGGTCTAAACACCCACAAAAAAAAAAAAAAAAAAAAAAAAAAAATTGCTTCAATTGATAACTTGTTAACATTATTTCTTACCCACTTTAGACACTTTAAAAATCAAAACCTAATTACTATTAACATCTAATTTGTCATCTTTCTTTTAATTAATATTTTGCTTGAAGAACCACTCCTGAGTGATCAGATGAGACGATAAAAACTTTTGTATATATTACTTAAGAGATCTCTCTCTATTATTAATAGAGATGACCAATAAAGAGTTTAACCGATTGTTAACTTTAAAACCCTGAAAAAATAATCAACAAACTACTCTTCCATGCCCGTTTTAGACTGTAAAAAAATCAAAACCTAATTCCTATTAACATCTAATTTGCCATCTTTCTTTTAATTAACATTTTGCTTGAAAAATCATCCAATACAACGATAAAGACTTTTGTATATATTACTTAAAAGAATTAACCGATCGTTGAACTTTAAAACCTGAAAAAATAATCCGGAAACTACTCGAACACTTCGATTAAAAAAAATAATAATAATAATAATTAAATTGCTTGTAACTTAAGTGATTGATAACTAGTCAGTTGTCAGCATTATTACTCGAAATAAATTAGGCGATGGCCCATATACCATATAGTCCACATAATAAATAATAAAATCAATCACATCCTCTACCAAAATTATTACTTGATAAAGCTTTAACTTTCTGGGAAAATTAAGAAACCCTAAATTAAGTTTAAGAACCTGATTAATTTATCAACTTAATTAAGCTTAAACAAACAACATATAAAGGAAGGGAAAAAAAAAAAAAAAAAGAACTTGCTTTATATATATATATCTCATAAAATCCACATAAAACAAACAACCCAGATGGACTTAATTATACATACTAATCACCCATTAATTAACTCTATTATTTACAAAACCATATATGTGTTATTGATTAGTTAATTACCTTTTTTTTTTTATCTAAAATATATTGATTTATTTCTCAGAACCAGCTATCCAGAAAGCTAGACTGGAACTGCACAAGAACAAGAAGCAACAAGATTATGGCGGCCACACCCCACGGTGAGCTTCCCTCCGACGGCTGGTAGTGGGTCCGGCGGCGCTTGTCCCAAGGCGAGGAAGAGGTGAAGTACATGTCTGAGTATTCCATGGATGACAGCCAACGAACGAGCAGAATCAACAAAACCGGCGTGGCAAAAAGCACCCAACTGAGCTGTTCTTCGGCCGTTTCAAGAGCTTCCTCGTAGCTGAAATAAGACGATATGCCAAGAAAGATTAATGGGAGGGCTAAGAGCAAGAGAACTGGGTAGGGAAGTGGGCTCAGACTGAATGAATCAAAGATGCTGCTCCTTCTGTAATACCCCATTTGAGTTTTCTGGTTTAAGTTTGAAGACGAAGAAGTTGGAAGCTCTTTAAGTTTTGGTTTTGACAAGTTCAAAAGTTTGGTAAGAATATAGAAGGTTTTGGAGTTTATAGTTGAAACTTAAAATTGTGGCCGTTTGATTTACTGGGTTGCCTGCTATAGAATTAACTTGTACTGCCTGATTCCGACCGTTGATTTCTTGATGTAGTTCCTAATAAAAAAAAGTGCTTTTGAGTAAAAAATAAAAATTAAAAAAATATTATACTTATAACCCAATCTCATATAATTTCTCTCACAGTCCTTAGATGGCAATCCCAGTTTTTTGCTTATAAATTTCCCAAAATTCAAAATTTATTAGCAAAAAACTGGAAGTTGCCACCCACTGATTATGAGATTCAAAAATATTATGGGTCCGTTTGATTTATTATTATGATACTTTTTAGAATAATATTTTGAAAAAAGTTAAATTGGGTGAGTGTTACGATGTAGGATTTGAAAATTAATAAAAATACCTTTTATTTTTATTTATTTACTAAACACTCTTATAATAAAATATTATAAGTTAACAAAAACACTCCCAACCCATCCATTAAATACAAACAGCCGACCACTACCGCCGAAGAGTTGTTGGAATGTTTTTGTAATTTCTAAAAAAAAATTTAAGGGTATTTAGTTAAATTAACAAATTTAAAGGGGTTTAAAAGAAATTAAATAATATAAAATAATATTTTGAGAATAAGTCAATTTTACTGTTTAACTTTATTACTAATAATAGTATTCCCAAGAGTGTAACAAACGAAGCCTATATTTACAATCCAATCTCACAACCCTAATATGACAATAAAGTTGATACTACTATATCAACTGATAACTTTAACTAAACAAAAACAGTCGTTTTTAAGAAATAAACGATCATTCATTCATAAAAAATAGTTGTTTTATTCATAAGGAATGGTCGTCTATTCTTTTATAAAGAATAATCATTTTTTATGAATGAATGTTGTTCTTTCATAAATAATAATTATTTCTTATAAAAGAATGTATAATTATTCGTATTTAATCAAAGTTATTTAGTATCTTGATATGATGAAAGTTGATGTTATAATTATTAGTTTAATTATTACGATAAAGTTATAAGAGAAGATAACGAGATTGTAACATAAACCTAATATTACTCTCTCTCTCTCTCTCGTTTTCAAAAAGTGTTTTTATTTTATTTAATTAAACATTTGTATATAACGTTAAATGTATTTGACTAATAAAATAAGTGCTTTTTGAGGTCCAAAAAAGCACTTATGTAGGCCATTAAGAAGTCAATCTAACGGTGGTGGCACTAATAGAATAAATACAAATCAGTGCAAACCCCAAGCAGGTCACTTCAACTTAACCTACTTTCCCAGCCTGCCTTATATAAAACAATTTACCCAAGATGATAAAACATTGAAAATTATAATACGAAAAAGACAGTTATCTATCGAATTTATGTATCGAATGACATAATCAAATTCTGACTATCGATTAATATTAAATTAAAATTAATTAACGGTTAAGATTTTATTATGTTATTCGGTATATGAATTTAGTATACTACTTCGATGAGTATAGTATTACTCATTATAATATAATTAATCTAACTGGGTGCTATAGAATTAACTTGTACTGCCTGATTCTGATCGTTGATTTCTTGATGTAGTTTCTTAATAAAAAAGTGCTTTTGAGTTTGAGTAAAATAAAGGAGTAATGCTACAGCCACTGATGGTAGTGTACCAAATTTATATACCGAATAACGTAGTAAAATCCTAACCGTTGATTAATACTAAGTTAAAATTAATCAATGGTCAGGATTTTACCACATCATTCGATGCACTACCGTCGGTAGCTGTATTATTTTTCAAAATAAAGAAGACGATATTACACTTATAACACAATCTCATAAATTTTTCTCACAACCCTTAAATGGCAATCTCCAGTTTTTTGCTTATGAATTTCCCAAAATTCAAAATTTATCAGCAAAAACCTAGGAGTTGTCATCTAGAGATTGTGAAAGAGAGTTTGTAAGATTCAAAAATACTATATTTACAATTAAATTTCACAACTTTATCTTACAACCCTAACGTGACAGTAGAGTTGATACTACCACATCAACTGACGATTTTAACTAAACACGAATGCTCGTTCCTTAAAGACAAACGAACGTTCATTCATAAAAAATGATTTTTCCATTCATAAGGAATAGTTGTTCCTTCGTAACGAACAATCAAATAGAATAATTCGTTTCTTCATAAAAAACAATCATTCCTTATGAATGAATTGACGATCATTCATGTTTAGTCAAAGTTAATTAGTACCTTGGGTGTAATGGAAGCTGACGTGACACGTTAAGATTATAAGAAATAATTGTGAGATTAGGTTATAGGATAGTGTATATATATATATACAGAGAGAGACAGAGTAAAACCTCTCTATAGTCATAATAGTGGGACTAGCTAATTTTATTACTATAAAGAAGTTATAACTTAATAGAGGTATAATTACAAAAATTTCTTATTTTATAATTCATATTTTTGTAGTATAGTATTAGGATTTCAATTAATGTTTTAACAGTATTATGATTTCAATACAGCGCTTCAATTACCTACTTTTGAAACGGATAAAAAATTGTGTTTTGTAACCAACAAAGATAAGTGTCATTGATAGAATTGTAAATGCAATTGTTGCATAGTCAAATTAATGTGAAGCCATAGACAACTGTCAATTGTTTTAAGTATTATAAAATTAGGAACCTCGATGTCGATTAATTGCAAGTTACAAATAAAGTAGATAAAGAGAATCAAATAATCATTGTAGAATTGAGTGATCAGATTCGACAACTTCACTACATTAATCGAACAGATATATAATGTTTTTCTCAATCATTCAAATGAGTAACAAGTCATGTATACTTTAACTGAAGAAGAAATCATTGTTATAATTAAACAAAATGAAAAATGAAATAATGACAAAGATGATAATAGAGAAATACAAAAAGTTTTGTGCCAATAAGCTCTAAACATAGTTTAAAAAATATAAATATTTTAATTTCAACAAGAAGATGTATATGCTAACAGGTAATATATCCAAGTTAAAAGATGTATAAACTCTAAAACATTGAATGTGTTTGACTAATAAAAGAAGTGCTCCAAAAAAAAGCACTTATGTAGGCCATTAAATGTAGTCAATGTAATGGTTGATTGCACTAACAGAAGATTAGAAAATATTAATCAGTGCAAACCCCAAGCATGTCACTTCAACTTAACCTACTTTCCCAGCCTGCCTTATAACATTATATTATAATTGTCAATGTTTCCAAGATGATAAAACATTGACAATTATAATATAATTGTTCTAAATACAGTTGTTGGAACCTATTTGGTGATGAGATTTTGGATAAGATTATACGACTTATGTGACCCCATGACTTCATGATCCCCCACATTTCTTTCTCTTCCTCTTTGTCTTGCCAATTTACTGTGTTGTTTCCAGTGTAGGTGGCAAAAAGCTTTGTCATGTGAATAACCAATGGCCTATTCCAGCTTTCTTGACTAACTCAATGCAAATAAAATGGCAAAATTCACCCATTTTGCCCCAAAATCCATGGAATAACCCAACGGACTCCCATGCCTTTAACCTAAAGCTTGGCAATTTTACTTGTAAGCACATGGAGACCTTTTCATTACAAGTTTATTTTTGACACTATTTTAAAACCCAACCCAACCCGGCCCAACAACAATTGAAGACTGTTAAGGCTTTTGAAGAGAAACTTTCAATGAGTGCAATGATGGCAATAGCGTCGATCTCTCATGAGTGACTCGACCAGAAATTACAAAGCAATATCGTCAAAAAAATCTCGCTGTCGCCAACGATTGGGGAGGCGAACAAGGGAGAGGTAACATGAGTTTTAGTCAGAAGACTAAGGAGAGTGTTTTTGTGGTAATGGGGATCGTCGTCACCAAAAACAAGCCCTATTTCCTAACACCGACTGTATTATTGGGTGTATTTTTACAAGATTTTAAACCTATGAAGACTTACAGGTAATTTTTAAGAGTATTTTTGTTAGATTTCAAACCTTGTTAAACTAGTCAACTCGAGACCAAACCACTTTGCTAGGTTTAACCCCGGGTTAGGTTTTAAAACATTGGTTTTCAATCCATCCATGGCGCCAAATGATTTCGATAACAGAGAAGATACATTACCAGTTAACAACCGCAAGACATTCAAGAAATTTTGCAGGCAACAGAGTATGATAGTTCAATGTAAACAAACCAATTTGCAGATTAGTAAAACTATATATACAGTTCGGATCACAGTGGTGGCAAGACTTTATACCATTTCGTATACTTTTGGGTTAACATGTACCTAAGACTAACAAAAATGTGCGTGATTATCCAAGTCAGCTGCCAGGAGCTGAATGAAAAATCACTGCACCCGGTTACAGTCTGAGGGAATAGACACACTCTCAACAGAAAAAGCCATTGTGGCGTTAATTTAGAACATAGTGTGCTTCGCATAATTGTTACAATCTCATGATGCTATCTTAAAAGATGTTAGAAGTATTGATGGTCCAAACTAATATTTGCCAATATATCCCACCTGAAGAAAAATGGAGATCAGACCTTTCCTTCATATCGGAAATTCAGTTTGTAATCGTGCTGCAAAGTTGCTAGAGTGTTTCTGCAAGGACCCTCTACAGAAACATTTAGACCAGAATAAAGGTTAGACTGAACCAAGATGTCAAACTTTTAATAAGATCCTATGTAAAAGATTCTTACCTCCAAATACAGTATGAAGATATTGAAGATCATCAGCAGAGCAAGCATCTATTAAAGCATATACACCTGGTTTCAGAGCTTCATCTATTTCCCTGCAAGTTGTTTAAGAAGGAAAACAATTTTGTTATTGCACGTCGTCAAGCATCTCATTGAACAGGAGAGATAGATTAGATCTTGCTATGCACCGATTGATAGGCAAGGTGACAAGAAGGTGCTAGACAATACCTTCTGATGCCAGTTTTGAGGGGACCATATCCTGAATAAACCCATATGTAATTTGATAAAAACTTGAAACAGTGCCGGCCGAAAACATCTTTTTGTTGTCTTACCTGTAGACAAAAAAAGGACAATTTAGAGGAGGAAAGACAAATGGATTATTATCCATAATCCTACATATGTTGATTCAACATTGACGATTTTATATAAATTTCTCAATATGTATACATTGTTCAAAACGTCACCCACCTCTTCATAAATCCTTCGGAGAAAACAAGCGCACTTTACGCCCTCCTGTACTTCCCATGAGAAATAACCTTTTCTGACCACTAAATCAGTATCCACTGTCTCCAAACAATGAAGAAGAACACGAACAGATTCTTCAAGTAGAGCAATGCACTGCTCACACTCACTAGAAATTACATGATAATCAGTTCAAATAGCATGTAATGCCTACTTTTACAGGGAAAGAAGCAGAAATGGAACTAGAATCAGAGAGTATGTACGCAACCAAGAACCAGAAGATTCATCATACCAGCATTCTAATATTCCTATTAGCTGACAACAAAATAATTATTATATTGGGAAAGGAGTTTAATGCATATTATTCATGGACTGAACTGAGGCAAAACTGCTTATTAGAATTTAACGGCTGATGTTCTGAACAACAATAACCAGGTAAATTATGGAATGAACTAACGAGGCAAAAGCTACCTTTTGTGATGCTTCAGGATCGTATACAACAGCTTGCAACATGCAGCAAATAGGCTTATCGAGAATTGCCGATCCACAGACCAGGAATTCATGCTAGCAACATTCTTACTGTTTTGCTTATCTGAATACATTGCAGGAGTAGATTGAACTGGGGCCTGTGGGAGTCTAAGTTGACATATATCCTGAAAAAGTGCTGCAGGGATGCGTATAGACTGGGCTACATGCCAGGAATCCATTTGGAACAAAGCATGTTTTCCAGAAATTCTTGTCAGCACTTCAACGCACATAAGAATCACTGATCCTGGATCTGGTCCATTATTACCATCATTACTTGCTGGCTTTCCATAGAAAATTAATGGACTCTGCAAGTGCACAACAACATTGAACAGGGCAGCGATAAAGTTCTGGATATGCCTTTTAACCACGCCTAGCCGTTTACGACCTATACAGAAAATAAATTGTTAGGCCAAAAATGACCAAATTATCAAAACAAAAGCTCTTATGAATAATAAATAAATGTAAAGATTTCAACAGCCATCATCTTGTGCTGCGCAGCAATGAGTAAAGAAATTCTGTACTTTCACATATGCTAGTCAAGCCTTCTTCAAAATTTAAAACACTTCACATTTACATAACTAGAAATAACTAAGTGTTTTATGAGATGTAAAAATAAAATGAACATCACTATATGATTTCCCATAGCATGTGAAGTACATAATTTCCTTCAGATGCCACATAATATAGTCCATTTTTGGAAAAGTCAAAGTACATATGTAATAATAATTCTATACCAACATTCTCTACATTTCTGTTTGTTGAAGGCAAATGCATTAAATAAAGTTAAAATGAAGTGGTTACAGAAACTAACAAACCTATTTAAAGTTAATCCATCAAGTTATGTGCTCAAAGAGTTAAACTTTAAAAAGTGGACCAACAAATTTAACCCTGAGGGACTATTAGATGTGGCATTCATTTGTGAAATTCACTTAAAAGTGGACATGCATCTGAAAATGCCCCCATACTGAGTGCTCCAAGAAACATAAAGGATCAATTAAAGATTCTTTAAACTATACAATAAGGTGATCTTGATAAATGAGCTGATATAGTACTACCTGAAACATATTCTAGAACTAGATCCAAGGAGTCAATGCCAGCTGCAACAATTGAGGACACCTTGCCACCATCTCCACTTCCAGTACTTATATTGTAGGTCACTGAGCAGCCTCCTTGCACTCCCACTAGTGATCTCTCTATAGCCTTTACTGCAGATAACAGGTGCAAATCCGATGGTTTCTTTATGAACACTTTGAAAGACATCCTCAACCTAGCTTTAAACTCATCCAAGCAATATGGTCCATGAGAAAGAGATGCTTCAGATAAGTCCATACTACAATCAAGTATTTTAGTACTTGATTCAGTCTCATGAGATGCTAAAGTAGCTTTCTTTCCCTGCAAAGATATGCATTTTCCTATCGCTCTTAAGTGTAACTCTATCAGCCTGGTGTACACATTTCTAGTCAACATCGGATTAGTTAAAGGGAAGTGGTTCCCTAATTCTTCTAGATAACTCAGAACACCATCTAGCCAAACAAAAGTAAATGGTTGTGGCACCTCAATCATGTCTGCCAACTGCAACAACAAGAATTCTGAAATGCCAATAAAAGTGGGCACTAAGCCTGAAGAGAAGGGAGTTCTACTCCTCTGCAGATTTAGTCTCAAAATAGCAGAAGAAGCAATTAATAGCCGTCTCAGAGAAAAAGCTGCCTCAGGATGATCACCTTTCAGCAAACCATGCAACAAATGCCTGTTAAAACATTGAAGCTCAAGTAAATCATTATTAGCGAGAACAGTGGCAGGAGAGTTTGCATCTTCCAACTCTGACCTATTATTATGAACAACCATTGTCCTTGAGTCCTCATCAATACCAACTGATTCTGCACATGTCCTCAAAGTTCCTAAGTTCTCAGTCATTGCATCACATCTTTCAAGAAAAAACTCCCCAGATGTTGGCGGATCCTCGCCGTAGTCCAACTTCTGAAAGGTTTGCTCAACAACCAAAATGTTCAAAAATGAAGAAGTAACATCAGCAAATACATCGATATAATGGTTTAGTTTAGAGATAGGTTCACACTTCCACCTTAACAATTTCAGTTTATCACCATTTTTTTCATCACTGTGATTTGCAGCAGATGCTAAGCCCCACAGAATCCCACTAAAGCACGAAACTAGAGAAGATAATTTATTCAAATTAACAACTTTACCACAAACTCCCACTTTTCTATCACAAAGTGCATCCTTCAAAGACACAAGTAAGTTTTGTGCCTGTTCCTCTAAACTATCCATAACAAGGAACATGCTTTTCCAAGCTTCAAATTCTTTGAAAGAATCAAGACAGGGACCACTCTCCTTTAAATTATTCTGTTCATGAAAAACTTCAGAACTGGGTTTCCCTTTGCAAGGCTGATCAAATAATATAAACGAATTAACTGCACTATTTAAATGGTATTTACTTAATGTCAAGAATATGTACGATGTGTGGTCTATCAGTGAAAAGATCATATCTCTGATTTCACTAGAGCCATCATCTGAAAGTGCTTCTTGAAGTCCAATTACCAGAAACACTGACTTGAAAAGCCACAAAACAAAATCTGAACCCTCAGAGAGCATCGGAATTGGTGATGATTGACTATCTTCTGTCTTTTCTTCACAAGATGCCATAATTATATATTTCAAGGTCCTACGACAGGACACAAACAATCTGAAGAAGTCGTAACGACTACAGGAGAACAATGCATCATGACATTTTAACAAACAGCCAACCAAAATCCTGAAAACACAATGACTATGTTAATAATAATTCTGTATCTCTGATGCAGAAATAGAAATCAAAGCAAAAGCTAAACTGTGACTAAGAGACTTAGAGAGTTCACCTTTCAAGATTGAGTATACAAGTCGTATAAAGTGAGAATGATTTTGAGTTCAAATATGCTTTAGGCATCCAACATAAAAGATTAAGCAAACTCTGACAAGCTGTAAATTTCATGCTGGCAAATTTGACGGCCTTTTTTTCCTTGCAAACTGTTTTAGGTAGCTTATCAAGTGAATGAGAAACTGATTTTGCCACTGAAATTGAATCACTTGAAACATTTTTGGTGCCTGAAACAACCAGTGATGACTTTTCAATTTCACTTAAAATTGTTGTCCAATTAGGTGATGTACGGAAATCAACATCTCTGATTGAAAAATCACTGAATAATGACAACGATGATTGCTCCAATAAATGACAAAATCTTGATGCCAAATTCCTGCGAACAAACTAGTAAAAGAGATAGTATGAACATCATGAGATACAATGAAAAAACTCCATGCAAATTTCATAGAAAATATATGAAATTAAAAGAAAACAGAAAAGATGTAACACAAAAATAAGCACAGGCTTACATACAGAACTGTGTAGAAGCTCGCATGCCTGTATGTGAGATGCACATATGTCCATGCAAGAGCGAGGACTTTAATTTCCAAAAGTCTTACCTTATGTTCATACAGAAAGGAGTCTCTCAGAAGTTCAGCCGAGATTTGATGCACAGTCACTGCTTTCAAATGGCCAGCCTCATTTATGCTGTGCTTTCCAAAACTGGAAAAGTTGTTTGTTACACAAGAACAGGAAGTATGAATTAAAACTGAAAGGAACATCTTTAACTTCTTAGATGCAGCATGAGTGCACCAAATATCAATATTTTGGCTAACAATCCACCAAACTGCAGTGGGCAATGATTTTTCATCCATAGCACAAACACTCATATTCCATTTATCACTTGCGTGCAGCTCTTGGACACATTTATCCTCAAAAGATACATCATCAGAGCTGGAGATTACAGGATGCATATTTTCCACCAATGAGACATATCCCATCATGAATTCAGTAAGAACTGCTGCCTCTTTATTCAAAACTGAGATGCGCTTTCTCCACTTTTTGCACTTCTTGCGATACTGTGACAAGTCAGATTTACCAAGCAAGTTGAATTGGACTGCATTTTCATTATTCTGCAGTAAATATTCGAGAGACTTTATTTGCCTGTTCAAATCGACAAGCCTCTGAAGTGCCATAGTAAGCAATACATATATCAGAGGGCAGCATTCTGCAACATCGTCCTTAATATAAATGTCTGAAAAAAAATTTATAACATTAATAAGAGAATTTGAAGGTTGAACGCCCCAAGAAAAATAGCCTTCATCAGTCCAATCAGTCTTCTCCATCCAATCCCTCCCAGAGTATGCCATTAAGGAATCTCCCATCGTAGCTGACATCTTTTTAGATGAATCAGGGGGCATAAGGCTAATTGCTTGCTTGTATAGGCTTCGGCAGGACACATACAACCGAAAGAAGAATACAAAGATCCACTTAGCTGATAATCCACATTTCAGCGAATCATTATTATTTCCAGACATTCCATTCTTGAAAGTTCTTCCTGTTACAGAAAAAAGGAAATCATTGACACTGTCTACCTGCAGCTGTACCAGTCCATTAATGAAAGGACAAATTACAGTCATCAGGTCCTTTATAGAAAGCCCAACAAGATTACTGTTTCCTGTAGTGACAATAAGTGAATCTAGCACTAGCAGGTAGATTTCAGACAAATCTCTTCCCAAAAGTTCTGCTTGCAGATCAAAACCCAGAATGGCACAATCTCTTGCTTTCAAGTTGTTGAATTCTTTTCCATCAGCCACTGCACAACTTTCTTTCATCCAATTCATGGATTCAGATATATCTGCAGTTAACTGTCGAATACATCCACTTCCTTGCCCTTCTGGCATGGATCTAATAGCATTTTGAATGGAGAATTTAAATTCTTGTGAGCATGATAGCACCTCCACTGATTTTGCATATGCTTGACAAGGTAAAGAATTCATACCAGACAGAAATCTACTATAACTGGTTTCACCATTGTTGTCACGTGATACTAAAAGCCTCACTGCTTTGCACAGTGCAAAGACAACATTATTCACCTACAATAGTTTGAAAGTATAAGATCAGGCACGCAGATAAAAAAATTTGTCTGACCAAATATTCATCAACAAAAAGAAGACCAAGATGTCAAAGGGTAAGATACGATAAAGATTGATAGCATAACAAAAGTTAATCAATACACTTTCCAAAAATAAAAATTCAAGCCCAACTGACCTATCATCCACCCTCCCCCTCACCCCAGCACCCAAGCTCCATACAACAGAAACTATCTTAACTGGGAAATGTCAGAGGAATTGGATGCAAAACAGGTATTAAGAGTATAAAATTTACCATCTGCAATTTATTTAACCATGTGACACCAAGCATTTCCACCCTCACACCAGGCTAAAAGCTAAAACTGTAATTAATTTAATCATGTGACACCAAGTATTTCCACACTTACAGAAGACTAAAAGCTAAAACCATGCAAATATGTGGGAAATATTCTACTAACCTGGCGAAGTTCGCCATAGAGATTAATTAACTGGCATCCAAGGTCTAGTATTGGGGTAGTTAACAAGCACTGATCTGGTGCATCCACAGAAGAAAGGCCAATGGCTAAGTAAGAAAGCATCATGAGCCACAAGCTTTCTAAATCATTTCCAATAACCTGATATTCAATATCTAAAAGGTACCCCACAGAAACAAGCAGTTCCCTGGCCAAAGAACTGAACATCTCCTTCTGTGTCCCATGAGCTATGTCACAATTTGACAAACTGGCAGCAAATGACATAACTGCACCATGAACCTTCGTCAAGAAATTGAAGCAAGCTCCTTCGGAGATATCCTCCGTTCTTAGATATACTTTTTCATGCGCAAAGCTGGAAAGTAAACTGTTAATAGATTTGAGTGTGCAACAAACATCCAACAATGCAAGCCCCGGTACCAGTTTAGCTTGAACATATCCATTCATCTCAAACAACAGAGGCTCCATAATCTGTATAAAAAATTCAAAAAGTGACTTTCTAGTTTCTGCATTCAAATTACTTGCAGAATAACTCTTGTCTGGAAGTGCACTACTACTCCCAAATGAATCTACAGAAACATGACCTAATACATTCTTTTCCAACTGCATTGAAGCTCCATTTTTCCCTACACTCTTGGCACTTTCAGAAAAAACTGAAACTCCTTTTTGTTTGCTTACTCGATCAACAAGCAGGTGAAACAGTTGTCCTATGCCACTCAACACTGATACGTTCTTTGCAGTCATAATGCTCTCCAATTTATCAAATAAATGTCTATGGTAACTCTTAACAGCTGTTTTTGAATCTCCTGATTTTCTCTCATGGGATGCAAGATACTTCTCTGTAGCACGCAAGCCCAGAAATCCATCAATATGGGTTGGATGGAACAACCCATTAGACAGAACTTCTTCAAGCAAGATTAGAAGGTTTCTTGTCTGATCGGAAATATTAGCATCGCTCTGAAATTTCAACATACCCAACAAGTGCAAAAGTGACTCAAGAAGTTTATCCACAAAATCGCGAAACCCATTTTTCCGAGTTGGATGAGTCCTTAAAAACTTGGCAAATGGCTCAAGCACCAAACAAGAGAATTGCAGGACAAAAGCATCTGCATAGCCACCATCACTCTTCTGAGAGTGAATTTTGAGAACAAGTTGAAGAATTGGATCAACAGTGGAAATCCACAAGTCCAGATTTTCATTCAACAAGCCACCTTCCCATGAGAATACCAAAGAAAGACAATCAAGTACAACACTATACAATTCATAACCTCCACCAACAGAAAACGACTCTTTGAAACCTGAAGAATTCTCATTCACCAAAGACAATGCATTTCTTGCAATACAACCAATAGCGCGCAAAAGATTCCGTGATATACTCAAAGAAACGTGCCATTTCAAAGACTCCTCCAAACAGAACTTGAAAATCACCCAGCATCTGAAGTCCAAGCATGTCTCAATAACTCCCGACTGATTTTTCCCTCCATCAACTTTACCTTTCTTTTCGGTAGAAATCAATAATGACTGAACCCAATCACTCAGAAAAACAATTAATCTTGATGTTTTCACCGTTTCATTCTCCTCATTCTCATCACTTTCTCCTCCTTTCGCTCTCGAATTAACGAAACAAAATACTAGTTCCACCTTCCTGCATCAAAATCCCTTCACCAGTCAAATAAAAAAAATCCAATACTCCAAAATAAATTGTAAAATAAAAAAAAAAAAATGACATAACCAAACTAACTATAGAAAGACAAAACAAAGAAAAAAAACTACTTTTGAATATCAATATCTTTGTTCTGTATCGAGAGAATCAGCTTTAAATTCCTCCATGGACGCTCTTCTTCGAGATTCTGGTCCGGTTCTACTTCAACTACTGCCGGTTCGTTCTCTGGTAAATTAATACGGTGGGCTTTAGTTGGTCTTATTTCCTCTTGCTGAGAAGTTAGCTTTCTCTTCTTCTTTTTCGCCAATTTGACCGATAAATCGGCCATATCTGAATGTGCTAGATTTCGGAGTTTGGCCGATGGCCTTCGGAGAGGGTAACAGGGTTTAACGGAGAAGGTATTCAGGTAGGGTTTAACGAAGAACGGGTATATCCNATAACCAAACTAACTATAGAAAGACAAAACAAAGAAAAAAAACTACTTTTGAATATCAATATCTTTGTTCTGTATCGAGAGAATCAGCTTTAAATTCCTCCATGGACGCTCTTCTTCGAGATTCTGGTCCGGTTCTACTTCAACTACTGCCGGTTCGTTCTCTGGTAAATTAATACGGTGGGCTTTAGTTGGTCTTATTTCCTCTTGCTGAGAAGTTAGCTTTCTCTTCTTCTTTTTCGCCGATTTGACGGATAAATCCGCCATATCTGAATGTGCTAGATTTCGGAGTTTGGCCGATGGCCTTCGGAGAGGGTAACAGGGTTTAACGGAGAAGGTATTCAGGTAGGGTTTAACGAAGAACGGGTATACCCCCTTATTTTTCTCTAAGTACACCCACTTTTTAAATTATTTTTTTTAAAAGAAAATTAATTTATAAATCTCTATGGGTGCGTTTGGTTTAGTATTTTTGACAGGATTTTAGGGATAATATTAGGTTATTAGATAGGGGAGTATTACGAGGTAAATTTTAAAAATTTGTGAAAACGCCCTTAGGTTTACTAATTTAACTAATGACCCTAACATATAAAATGACAAAAACACCCCCACCACCTGCAGTGTCAGATTCCGGCCACCACCGCCGGAATCTGACCGAAAAATTTCGTTACGGCACAGACCGGTCGGATCTGTGCCGTAACACGTCGTTATGGCCTTTTCCGGCCAGATCCATGGTGGATCTGGCTGAAAAAGGCCAGATCTACGGTCTGTAATGGCCGTCGTTTTCGGTCAATGACGGCCAGATCTGGCCGGAAAAGGCCACAGCGGTGAACTTCCGGCCATTTCTGGTCGGAAGTTAGGCCGTTATACAGATTCCGGCTATCACCGACGGTGGTTGCCGGAATCTGACAAGTTGGGTTGATGGGGGTGTTTTTGTTAATTTTTAAACTTTTTTTTCAGGGTGTATTTAGTGAAATTAATAACCTTATGGGGTTTAAATGTAATTAAAAAAATAGGGTAATATTTCTGGAATAATGTGCCAAACATTATTTTGAGAATAAGATCCAGAATAGGGATAAAAATATTAAGCCAAACATGCAGAATATTATTTCCGCCTTCTTGTAACTATTATTTTATTTTATTTTATTATAATGTTAATTAATTTGGAGTTTGAAAATATTTTGAATTATTGTTTCAGTTTTTATTATTTTTGTTCTTGAATTTTATTATCTACTATTTAAATTTTTTTTTTTTTTTTAGAAGTGCATAAATAACTAATGCTCGCTTGGTTAGTTATTTAAAATAACATTTTATTCTGATTAGCATTTTTGAAAAATATGATAGGATTCTAAGAAATTTTTGATACATTCTGAAAATATTTTTTTAACCCTCTAGGTTTGTTAATTTAACTAAACATCCCCCATAATAAAAGTTTATAAATTGACAAAAACACCACCACCCACCCGTATTAGAGCTGGGCAAGGGACCGGTCCCTTGCGAGCCCAGGCCTGGCCCCGTTTGGGACTGGTCCCAAATGGGACCAGTCACTCATGGGCCTGGGACCGGTCCCAGGCCCATGAGAAAAACCAGGAAGGCCTGGTCGGGACTGGTCCCATGGGCTTTAGACAATTTTATTTTCCCCTCTCAATTTTTTTATATTTTGGGGGCAAAACAAAATTTTATAGGGGGTTTTTAGTATGTTTTAGGGGTAAAATTTATAAATTTTTTAGACCTGGAAGATTTTTTTTTTATAAATTTTATAAAATTTCATTTTAGCCATCGTAATTTATATCTATTTAAAATTAACAGGGGGTTTTATGTAATTTGGCAAGGGACTACATTAAAAAAATACAAATTTTTTTGGGCCCAGGCCGAGGCCTTGGAGGAGGGCCCTCCTCCTTAGGCCTAGTCCCGTTTTGGGACCAGGCCTCCTAAGTCCGGTCCTCTCAAGGACCGGTCCTAGGATCGGGCTTTAGAGCTAGGCTTTTGGGCCCGATCCCAAATGCCCATCTCTAACCCGTATATTACCGACAACTGGCCACCACCGCCGGAACGTAGTCAAAATCTGCCAGAATGGCACAAGATCAGCTGGATCTAGCCAATCGTGCACTGATCTGGCCTTTTTTGGTTAAGATACACCATGGATCTGGTTAGAAAATGCTAGATTCAATTGGTCGTGCGTCGTTACGGCGGCAACGATCGACGGTGGCTGTTGGTGGGTGATAGTGGCTTGGGTGGGTGTGGGTGCTTTTGTTAATTTTAAAACTTTTATTGAAAAGGGTAATTGTTAATGTTATGAGTTGAATGGAATATAATTGAATTTTGAAGAGAATCTTGAATATTAAAACAAATATGTATTTTGATAGAATTGAATAGGATAATAGGGTAGGATAGTGAAAAAAAAGGGAAACATATGGAGGGTAAATCTAACCTAATCAACTCAAATAGAATTAACCCATTAGATTGATTTGAGTTATTCAAGATCATTGATTCGTTGACTATTAGATTGATCTAACGGTGGTTACCATTTATCAATGGGAAAGTTTCTTCATAAGACAACCCAATAATAAGAAGACTTATGTCCGAAATTATTCTTGATCAAATTCCAAAACTTGGGTTCTAGTTCTAGTCTTCTAGATGATATTGGGTTAGCCCAAAACGGGCCCAATTGACCCATAACACCGCAAATAATAAAGGGTTTAAAGAGAACGAAAATAATAGAGCCACCAAAGATTGTGCACCGAATTTGTGTACCGAATGACGTAGCAAAATCTTGATCGTTTATTAATATTAACTAATAATGAATCAATGATCAGGGTTTTATGATGTCATTCGATATACAGATTCTGTGCGCAACCTTCAGTGGCTGTAGCATTACTCTTAAAGAGAAAGTTTTAGGTGTTTATAGCACCATTTTATATGAAAAAAAATTATTTCTTAAATTTCCATAAAATACCCAAAGATTTGACCCAGTGGAGGGAGCTCATTGGGCCTTGGTAATATTATAAGTTAAAAACTATCTCTACGTAATTAAATGGTTTAATAAAACCTCTTAAATATATTATTTAAGAGGTTTTAATTTTGAATTACTCTTCAGTTACTAATAAGAGTAGTCACTCGAACCCTTACTTAACTGATAGTTCTAAAGCCCAGATAGATCAATTGAGGTATGCGTAAGCTGACGCAAATGTCCTTATCATTACAAAAAAAAATTGTAGGTCAAGTCTTTACCAATTGTAACTATAATTTAAAAAAAAAAAAAAATTCCATAAAATAATTTTGTTTCTTTTTGTCCGAACATCCTAAAGAATCGATCTTTCTTGTATAATAGTGCATAAGCACAACCTTAACCTAAACTTTATTATTGATAATGAATTTTAATGGACAGAATTGTAACACATTAACACTTTCCTCAACAAAATCAAATTCAATCTTATATTTAATAAATTAAATTATTTATGATGTTCACAAGAAGACCTTGCTGGCCCTATATTGTTACCGGCCATTAAAGGTCAACCACCTTATCCTTGGGAAATCTCACTGAACAGTTAGCAGTCACGAGCCAATTTTTATCGTCTCTTGGATTATAATCCAACTTTCAAAGGCTTTTTACCCCGGTAATGTTACTGGAAGGGTAAGCTAAAAAAAAATACCTCATGTAAATGACTAATTTGCCCTCATTTTTTCATATTATGAAAGGACAAAATTTCCCAAAATTGGAAATGATGGTGAATGACTATTATACCCTCCTAACTAACTTGCTTGAATATGATTTGAAAGATAATTGGATTATTAATATGGAATATAATTTATGAAATAGTATTGAATAAAATTGTATACAAAACAATAATATTAGATATACAATTAGTAACCAATTAACATAATAATAAAAAAGTAAAAACGAATTTAACATAGCCTCTCAAGTTCGAATCATCTTGATTGTAAAAGAACAAGAGGAGGATCTAACACGATCTCTCGAATTCGAGCGTTTAATAAGAGTAGTCACTAAAACTCTTACTCGATTGGTAGTTCCAGGGTCTCAAAGATTAGTCGAGGTGTGCACAAACTGGCTCAAACACCCCCAATCATAAAACAAAGAAAATATATATATTTTTTCATTTGATATATCATTCTTGCAAGATGCACTCACCAAATACAAGCTATAACCAACGGGGCGATGAAGCCAAGATTTTGTTTCAACGGGGTAAAGAAAAAAAAATTACATATTAAAATTATTCATGAAAAGTTGATTTTTTAATTCATTAAAAGAAGAAAAATTAAAATATATTTGGGATTTAAGAAAAATAAAATAAAATAAAGGTGGTGATAATGTTGGGATTTCAAGCTACTTTGGTAAATAAAATAAATGGGTGCTAATGTTACAACATATAGTAGAAGGGTACAAATTAAAAATTTCCATGCCCCCACTCACCCCTTAGTGGCTCTGTCTCTGCGGCCATCTTAGTTTAATAATTTTTAATCATTACGAAATTACTTCTTTACTATTTGAATGTTAGTTAAAATTTGACAGCATGGCGATGAGGGTGATTTTTAGTACTTTTAGAAATTTGAAGGGTAGTTTGTGCAAATAATCTCCGAAGTTCCATTCCCATTTTTAATTTTTTAAAACATTCGGGGTACGAAGTAAAAATAACTCCAACTTGATTCTGACTCTGACTGACAAATCTCTGCGGAGTTTCTGACCGACCACGTGTCAAAAACAAACAATTCTAACCATGCAAAGATCTGTGCATTATTTTTGAACAGTAGTTTTTGGCCCAAGTCTCGAAGCACAATCAGCATGCACTACTGAACCCTCCGGTCATCGGCCACCCACGTGGCCCCACTTCTCTCATCCCCACCTTCCCTTTTGTCCAATCCTCCGTTACCTTTTAGCTTTTACAACTGACCTCTGTTTTTAAAACCGGACCGGTCGGTCCGGGACCTGACAGTTTCTCCGATCCGGTTCTGGTCTTAGGGGGGTTTTGTAATATTTAAAAAATTATATGGGTTAATTGAATTTTATAAGGGTATTTTGGAGATATTTTAAAATTTTAGGGATTAATTAGTAATTTTCTTGGGACATTTTTTAAAATAAAAAAAATTATAGACTAATCGAAACTTTTTAGGAGAATTTTTGTAATATATTAAAATTTAAGAGATTAATATGTAATTTTTTTAAAATAAAATTGTTGCTGACGTCATCGATCCAACTGATTTGATTGGTTGACCCGTAACCTAGGCAACAAAACAGGTTGCCCTCCGATCCAGGTTTTAAAACAATGCAAGTGACAACACTAATTCAATTCATACACTATTACTTCATATACAATAATTCCATTCCGTTTCAATCAATCTAATATTTGTATACCTACACACGACTTTCATTTTAAATTATATTATTTTGTTTAAGCTATCTATAATATTTAAAATAAATTATTTTATTTTTATTGGGAGAAGCTCAATTATTCAATAAGCTTTTTTAAGTTTCTTTTAAGTGTTAAAAATATCAATATACTAAATTATAAATTGAGCTTATTTTAAGTGTTAAAAATATCAATACTAAAGTTTTATTATGATAAATTTTACTTTAGTTTTAATAAACTCTTAGTTCATAAGCTATAATCAAAGAAACTATAATCGACTTGTTATGAGACAATCAACTTAAGAACAAATCCAAAGTCAACCCTACTCTAAGCCGATCAATGTGAAAATGAACTGTTAGTCGACTTTGCTATGAGTCAATCAACGTGAGAAACGTTACTTGATAGTTATTAGGAATCCTGTATGAGAGACTAAGGTTGCATAGCTATAACTTTAAATCCAATAAATTGTTTATTCAACATGTGGGTTTAAGACTAAGGTTGCATAGCTATAACTTTAAATCCAATAAATTGTTTATTCAACATGTGGATTTAATCGAGAATCCATTGTTTAGCATAATAACTAATAATTATCGGATGGTTGAGTGGTCAATTAGAACTCTTAAATGTATTATTCAAGATGTTTTAAGTTCGATTCATCTCAACTCGACTACTAATAGGGGCGGTTATTGGAGTTCTTACCCGATCGATAGTCTAAGATTCCAGGAGATTAGTTGAAGTAAATGCAAGCTAGTTTGAGCATCCCCATTCATTAAAAAAAAAAAAAAATCCTCTATTAAATAATAATTCAAGAACACTAATTGAATCAAGCCATGTGCATAAAATTTGATCAATTTTAACTTCATCTAAAAAATAGAATGAAACCTAACCCAAAATATAAAAGTGATTGTAACATGTGAATCAAATTGTATCCACCTTCAATTAAAATATCCCCACCAAACCTAACCCAAACATAAGACAACCCGCATCATGCCAATAGAGTCCACACCTTTGGCACCGCTTACTCAGCAGCGCCAGTGCCAGACTGCCAGCTTTATTTATACGGACGTTTTTTAGACACCCCTGAGGTTTAGAAAAACTTTAAAGGAGGACCCATAGATCATAATGAACATTTATACCCTTGTAATTGAAGAATGTATGCAAAAATTGCGTATTATAAGGATAAATATACGAAACTATAATAGTTTTTAGTTTTCCAAATGTCTTATCAAATATTAGTTTAATATTTTTAAATTATTTAATATATTAATATTTCATTCATATGACAAATCTTAGATTTCAACTTCGTTTTATGGAAAGGAAAGATATTAATGTTATATTAATCATTGTATCCAAACTCTATAGAGAATTAACTCATTATAAGGTGAAATTGTTTTATTCCAACTACTTTAGGTGAACAATGATTCAATAGAGACTCTTCGGTATATTACTCAAGAGATCTTGAGTTCGGGTCTCTCCTCGATTACTAATAGGGATAGTTAGACCTGAGTATTTAGGACCCGGGCCTAAAAACGATCCTAAGAGGGATTGGTTCTAGAAGGTCTAATCCCAAACTAGGACCAGCCCATGGAGTAGGGACCGATCCCTAGATCGGCCCAAACCCCTTTGCCTTTTTTCCAAAAGCCCTGAAAAAATATCCAAAAACCCCTGTAAAATTTGAAATTAATTAAATTTACCAATCCCCCCTCTAAAATTACATAAACGCCCTTATATAATTTTATGTGGCCCCTTAAATATAAAAAAGCTGGGGGGGGGGGGGGGGGGGGGGGGGGGGGGGGGGGGGGGGGGGGAGAAATAAATAAATTTTCCAAGCCATTGACCGGCCTGGACCTTGAAATTTCTTATGAGCCTGGGATCGGTCATAAGCCCATGAGTGACTGGTCCCAATAAGGCCTAGACTTAGATTCAATTGGGCTAATCCTTGCTTAGGTCTAAGGGTAGTCATTGGAGCTCTTATCCTTAATAGTTTTAGATCTCAAAAGATTATTGAGTACGTGTAAGCTGACCGAGAGTGCCGAGTTGCTGTAACAAAAATTAAAAATATTTAGGGTTTAATGAATAAAATTTAGGGGTTAAAAAATTGATAAAGTTGAATAATTTGTGAGTTTTTGGTATTTACTGTTTACTTTTTTGGGAATATAAAGTAGTATTCCCAATTGACAACCAACGAGCCTATGAGTCTCCTTATTTTTCACTAAACCTTAGGGGTAAAATAAAATTGTATGTTACATATTCTGCCTGTCACCCTCTACCAAACCCGTTCATGTACAGATTTTGACCGGCTTGTCCGGTTAGTAACGGGCCCCACATGAAACTAAATTAATATTATAAAAAATTTACACACTATAAACTCTCGAGTGAGCTTGTTTCATTCACTTTCTCTGAATCCAGGAAGTAGCGTAAGCGATTCTTGCGGTTAGTTAATCTGAAAATTAATCTTATTGTGAAACAAGAACCATGGAATGTCTTTTTTTTCTTTGAATTTTTTGGAATAAAAAAATGTTGCTTTTCTTCCATGCATGTTGGTCTCTCTTATTCTCTGTGTGTTTGGTTAACGAGAAAATGAAGCAGTAATGGCCGGATTGAAATTCAGGTGGTTATAGAATGGAGAAAATATAATTACAAAAAAATAATAAAAAGAAAGATGGATATCTCTGTATGGTAGCTGAGATCGAAGAATGCGATTTCTCCAAGTGTTAGAGAGGCCGAGGACTTGAATATGGACAGAGAGAGACAGATCGTTCGATGAGAGGTCGCTTAGTATTATCCATTGGATTCTCGCCGCGTCTGTTCCCGAGAGTTGCGGATAAACAGTTCGGACGGTTTCGGATATTCTGGACGGTGCGTTTTCGCCCGGAGCGGTCGGGTTTCAACACGCCGAGATCGCTGTTCGGGTTCGAACCGCACCCGATGGTTGGAGAAGCTTGGGATGCTTTGAGGGCGTTCCTTGGTTTATTTTCGTGGTAAACCTGTGACCATTGCTGCATTGGATAATTCTGAAGAAGAACTTACTATGATCAGGTAAATTAACATTAGCATTTGTGTATGCACTTAAAATGGTTAATTTAACTTGCTATGTTAGTTTTATCAGTATTTTTGCTTGTCTGTTAGATTCTGGATCCGTTTTATGATATGAACTTATTTGATGTTCCCTTATTTGGAAACGAAGTCTCCATGAAATTTATGGACGAATTTACCCTTCAATAATACAAAAGATAAACTGTGAAAGGAGAAGGCTCTTAGTAGAAACGAGAAGTCCGGACTTTCGAGTTATCTCCTGAAGAATGCACCCATTTTCTTATATTGATTATTGAGCTGAACTTAAGTGTGTGTAGATTTATTGTTGGACTTCAGGAAATGTTGGTTGATTAGGAGGATGGTATGAATTGAACTTATTGGTTTTTGTACAGGTGTTTGTTAGAGACTTTGTCCCCATGCGTTACTGTTTTTGATGAATGGGGAACCTGAGATAGTGAAGACTTTATTTGAAGACTCTTCGCCTGCAATCATGGGAGAAGAAGATTGATCGATTTCAGCTTGGGGAAGGGGTTATGCCCGCTAGTTTTAAAGTGCTTCATGATCCGGTCAGAACTCTGAAACTTTAATACGGATTTTGGTGAGAGTGCAATAGGAAGGGTGGCTCCGGTTGATTCTGGTTTTCTGGTGGATCATATTACTTCGGGCATACACAATCCACAGGAGACAGTTCATTAGCTGAGATGCCTGAATCCAGAAGGGTATGCGCCTAATTCTGAGTTTATGTCTTTCAGAGGGGTTTGACACATTCCCCACTCTTCTATGTGCTGATGGATGCTGCTGATTGATCGGAGAAGGGTGAGTTCTCACAATGTAGTATTTGTTGCATGGTGTCAGTCATAATTTATCATCATTGCCGTTGGTAAAATGTGATTTTTCTTCATTTTACTGTGTAGACTTCATTTTACACAAATTCACTACATGATTCATCCGTGAGGATGTGAATAAATTGTATAGCACATTCCAGTAATTCACATTGATGGCATGCTTGTGTTTATTAATCTCAGTTGAGCAGTCCATTTTTACATTGTTCTAAGAAATGCATTTAACTTTGTCATGTACCTTTGGTGATTGCACTCGCTGAAGTTGCTTTCGAAATGATATGTGGTGTATTTTTTCTTATTGTTTCATCCTGCTTGTCTCAGCATAACCTTCTATGCTTTCAGGGTTTTATGGGTACCCCTTGAGATACAAGCACTTTTCTTCATGGCTTTAAGATGTGCTCTGTTTCTACTTAAGCAAGATGCTGAAGGGAAGGATTTGTGGAACAATAGTTAACGTCTTCATGCGTTAAGCTATCACATGAGAAGCTACTTTTGCTAGACTTGAAGCACTCAATGATATATATGTATAAAACAGAGGAGTATTCTCACAAGCAGCAACATTTTAATGTAATCCCAGATTCTCTTCCCGAATGGGTTTTTGATTTCATGCCTCTGAAAGGTGGCTACTTATAGGCAATGTTATCCCCAAAATGGATTTCCGTTGGTTTGGCTTGGGCAATTGCATTGCAATTCTTTCATCATTGGCAACTGAAGAAGTCAAATGCTATTATGGTATTATAGAATCACGCTGGGAAGAGTTGGTTGAGAAATGCCTCTAAAGGTTTGCTATCCAGCCATAGAGAGCCATGAATGGAGAATTGTGACGGATGTGATCCAAAAAACACAAGTGGAGTTACCAATGGGGGATCTTGGCCAGGTATCTTCTCTACTTTGTGTTATTATCCTCTTCACAAATTCATTTGTGCAACAAATTATATTTCCTTAAAACTGACCTTGAAGGAGGACAGAAAAGGAAATATGTCTTTGTCTAAATCATGTCATTGATTTTTATTTCTCAGCATACCTGCTTATTATTTCATTTTCAGCATCATATTCCTTGAATCGCTTTGATGATAAGATAATTTCAAGTTCATATGTTTCATTATAGTATTTGATTTCATTCCGAGATGTTCACTTGTGTGTTAATCCATTTTGGCTTTCTATGCAATTGGTACAGTGCTTTTATGGCTTCTCACTGCCGCATGCATCAAGACTGGACGCCCCCAATTGCAGACGTGCCATTGAGATCGCTGAAACCCTGCTGAAAGACAACTGGCCTGAATACTACGATGGGAAGGTCGGACGATTCTTGGGAAGCAGCACGTAGTTCCAGACTTGGTCATCGCCGGCTACCTGGTGGCAAAATGATGTTGGAAGATCCATCTCATCTGGAATGATATCACTTGAGGAAGACAAACAACTGAAGCCCCCCTTGAGAAGGTCAAGTTCATGGACTTTCTGATGTGTTTCCAGCTCCCTTTCTGTCCCTCAGCAGTCCATTTTAGCTTTTCCGACATTGGATTCTTGATGGTGAGTACAAAGAGAGAGATTGATGATGAATCTTGCTACCTTTAGTTTCATGTTTCCTGTAGAAGGTGTGCTTTAGCATACAACATGTATCATGTCTTTTCTTTTTCCCCCTCAAATTTTGCAATAATATGTTAAACTTTTCTTCCCCATTCCTTAGTTTTCCCTTCGCTCCCAAATTAAAAATAGTTTTTGCTTTACAATAAGAAAATGTTTTTCAAGACAAAAGCACAAACTCAATTATATATTCATAACACAGAGATTCCTAGGTAAAGTTTTTGATTGATGTGAAAACAAAGGCAGATGGTCCAGGTTGGGCTTGTGTTTTGGAAACAAACTGAAAGTAGAAACGAAGAGATTTGTCTTTTGTTTTCTTTATTTGAAGCCCAAGTCTTTTCCCATATAGATATGTTGTACGCAGGTTATGGTCATAAGTGAGTGTTACATTTTCACCCTTGAGGTTGGTGCAAATACTAGTTTGCCTCTAATTTTTGGAAACTAACTCGACACTCTCAATAAAGTTCCTGTTAATTATATTATATTATATGTAATGGTATGCGATGTGACTTCCATAATATATTTTCTAGTTCATCTTTTTCCCATTTATGTGATGTGACTTCCACATACTGCTTTCTCTTAATTTAATTAATATTCCTATTTTGATTGTGCACTAACTGACCCCCACCGTACTAATCCACTACTAGCTGACGTGGGAAATGTCATCTCTCTTAATTGCCGCTCCCCTAAAAACTAAAAAAAAAAAAAAAAAAAAATTCAAAATTTTAATTCTCTCCTAAATGAATAAAAAATCTCCGAAAGTAGAAACATAAACCCGCCAGCCATGTATCTTCTACCACCACCAACGTCCAGCCTCTACCACCACCAGCGTCCCGTTGTCTTCCACTAGCCTGGCCGCCGTTGTTCACCACCAGCGTTGACCACCATCTTCCGCTAGCACTCTTCATTTTCATTTGCTGAATTTATAAAAAATTGCTCCCAAATTAGAAACCCATAAGATTGAACGATCTTTTGCTTCATGGTATTATTTTTATAGTTTTAAAGCATCGTCTAAGAACAATATAGGAACTCAAGAGTCATGATAAAATGATATAAATAAAATGTTGTACTTGTTACCATGCGTTGCTTATGTTGTGGTTTGACAATTGCTAGACTATTTCATTGCAAAATAGTTTTTTTGTCTATTTGTTTCTTTTTATTGCAGGTTATGTTTTTTTAAAGTATGAGACAAAAGAACAAGCCTTTAGGTTATGTTTTTTTAAAGTATGAGACAAAAGAACAAGCCTTTATGCCTCGTGATTGAGATTTTATCTCAAAAAATTGACCTCTTGATTGCCTATTGCTAGCATTATTTTCTGCATTGTTCATGTTCAGGTATACATTTTTCACTTTCCTTATTGCATAATTTTATTAATGAATTAATATTGATTCCTTTTGAATTTATTTACATAATTGATGTACCTTTACGATGTATATAGATTATTGGTAATGTATATATTGTTGAAATGACCCTCTTTCATCGTGCAAGTTGGTTCAGCAGACCATCGCATCCAAAAACGAAAAGCTTTTTTGAACTTGGTCTTGGTGTTGCATCAAAGTATCAAAGATGGAAGAGTGTAGTAAAAAAAATCCAGACAACTCTTCTTCTCATTTCAATGTTGTGGAGGTAATATTTTGTTTGTAATCTCTTTTTATTCACTAATATGATTTTAAATTTTTTATGGTATTGTTTCTATCCTTTTTGTTGTATTATTATATTTTAATTATGGCTATTATATTATCAATAAATTAGGATAATCATTTTGAAGAAATAGAAGATACAAGAAGTGCAGAAGAGGAATGAGAGCCTAATGTCACGACCCGCTTGCTTTTGCAATTCTTTCATCATTGGCAACTGAAGAACAGTCAAATGCTATTATGGATCTTATAGATCACGCTGGGAAGAGTTGGTTGAGAAATGCCTCTAAAGGTTTGCTATCCAGCCATAGAGAGCCATGAATGGAGAATTGTGACGGGATGTGATCCAAAAAACACAAGATGGTTACCACAATGGGGATCTTGGCCAGGTATCTTCTCTACTTTGTGTTATATATCCCTTTCACAATTCATTTGTGCAAACAAATTATATTTCCTTAAACTGACCTTGAAGGAGGTACAGAAAAGGAAATATGTCTTTGTCTAAATCAGTGTCATTGATTTTTATTTCTCAGCATACCTGCTTATTATTTCATTTTCAGCATCATATTCCTTGAATCGCTTTGATGAAAGATAATTTCAAGTTCATATGTTTCAGTATAGTATTTGATTTCATTCCGAGATGTTCCTTTGTGATTATCCATTTTGGCTTTCTATGGCAATTGGTACATTGCTTTATGGCTTCTCACTGCGCATGCATCAATGACGCCCCCAATTGCAAGACGTGCCATTGAGATCGCTGAAACCAGGCTGCTGAAAGACAACTGGCCTGAATACACGATGGGAAGTCGGACGATTCATTGGGAAGCAGGCACGTATTCCGACTTGGTCAATCGCCGCTACCTGGTGGCAAAAATGATGTTGGAAGATCCATCTCATCTGGATGATATCCTTGAGGAAGCAAACAACTGAAGCCCCCCTGAGAAGGTCAAGTTCATGGACTTTCTGATGTGTTTCCAGCTCCCTTTCTGTCCCTCAGCAGTCCATTTTAGCTTTTCCACATTGGATTCTTGAGTGAGTACAAAGAGAGAGATTGATGATGAATCTTGCTACCTTTAGTTTCATGTTTCCGTAGAAGGTGTTCTTAGCATACAACATGTCCATGTCTTTCTTTTTCCCCTCAAATTTTGCAATAATATGTTAAACTTTTTCCCCATTCCTTAGTTTTCCCTTGCTTCCCAAATTAAAAATAGGTTTTTGCTTTACAAAGAAAAATGTTTTTCAAGACAAAACACCAAACTCAATTATAATCATAACAACAGAGATTCCTAGTAAAGTTTTTGATTGATGTGAAACAAAGGCAGAGTGGTCCAGGTTGGCTTGTGTTTTGGAAACAAACTGAAAGTAGAAACGAAAGAGATTTGTCTTTTGTTTTCTTTATGTTGAAGCCCAAGTCTTTTCCATATAGATTATGTACGCAGGTTATGGTCATAAGGGAGTGAATTACATTTTCACCCTTGAGGTTTGGTGCAAACATAGTTTGCCTCTAATTTTTGGAAACTAACTCGACACTCTCAATAAAGTTCCTGTTAATTAATTTATTATCTGCCTGTCACCCTCTACCAAACCCGTTCATGTACAGATTTTGACCGGCTTGTCCGGTTAGTAACGGGCCCCACATGAAACTAAATTAATATTATAAAAAATTTCACACACTATAAACTCTCGAGTGAGCTTGTTTCATTCATTTTCTGAATCCAAGGAAGTAGCGCAAGCGATTCTTGCGGTTAGTTAATCTGAATATTCATCTTAATTGTGAAACAAGAACCAATGGAATTGTCTTTTTTTTTCTTTGAATTTTTTGGAATAAAAAAATGTTGCTTTGCTTCCATGCATGTTGGTCTCTCTTATTCTCTGTGTGTTTGGTTAACGAGAAAATGAAGCAGTAATGGCCGGAATTTGAAATTGCAGGTGGTTATAGAATGGAGAAAATATAAATTACGAAAAAAAATAATAAAAAGAAAGAAATGGATAATCTCTGTATGGTAGCTGAGATCGAAGAATGCGATTTCTCCAAGGTGTTAGAGAGGCCGAGGACTTTGAATATGGACAGAGAGAGACAGAAATCGTTCGATGAGAGGTCGCTTAGTGAATTATCCATTGGATTCTCGCCGCGTCTGTTCCCGAGAGTTGCGGATAATACAGTTCGGACGGTTTCGGATATTCTGGACGGTGCGTTTTCGCCCGGGAGGCGGTCGGGTTTCAACACGCCGAGATCGCTGTTCGGGTTCGAACCGCACCCGATGGTTGGAGAAGCTTGGGATGCTTTGAGGCGTTCCTTGGTTTATTTTCGTGGTAAACCTGTGGGGACCATTGCTGCATTGGATAATTCTGAAGAAGAACTTAACTATGATCAGGTAAATTAACATTAGCATTTGTTTATGCACTTAAAATGGTTAATTTAACTTGCTGATGTATAGTTTTATCAGTATTTTTGCTTGTCTGTTAGATTCTGGATCCGTTTTATGATATGAACTTATTTGATGTTCCCTTATTTGGAAGACGAAGTCTCCTATGAAATTTATGGACGAATTTACCCTTCAATAATACAAAAGATAAACTGTGAAAGGAGAAGGCTCTTAGTAGAAACAGAGAAGTCCGGACTTTCGAGTTTATCTCCTGAAGAATGCACCCATTTTCTTATATTGATTATTGAGCTGAAACTTAAGTTGTGTGTAGATTTATTGTTGGACTTCAGGAAATGTGTGGTTGATTAGGAGGATGGTATGAATTTGAACTTATTGGTTTGTGTACAGGTGTTTGTTAGAGACTTTGTCCCCAGTGCGTTAGCTTTTTTGATGAATGGGGAACCTGAGATAGTGAAGAACTTTATTTTGAAGACTCTTCGCCTGCAATCATGGGAGAAGAAGATTGATCGATTTCAGCTTGGGGAAGGGGTTATGCCCGCTAGTTTTAAAGTGCTTCATGATCCGGTCAGGAACTCTGAAACTTTAATAGCGGATTTTGGTGAGAGTGCAATAGGAAGGGTGGCTCCGGTTGATTCTGGTTTCTGGTGGATCATATTACTTCGGGCATACACAAAGTCCACAGGAGACAGTTCATTAGCTGAGATGCCTGAATGCCAGAAGGGTATGCGCCTAATTCTGAGTTTATGTCTTTCAGAGGGGTTTGACACATTCCCCACTCTTCTATGTGCTGATGGATGCTGCATGATTGATCGGAGAATGGTGAGTTCTCACAATGTAGTATTTGTTGCATGGTGTCAGTCATAATTTATCATCTATTAGCCGTTGGTAAAATGTGATTTTTTCTTCATTTTACTGTGTAGGACTTCATTTTACAAGCAAATTCACATACATTGATTCATCCACTGAGGATGTGAAATAAATTGTATAGCACATTCCAGTAATTCACATTGATGGCATGCTTGTGTTTTATAATCTCAGTTGTAGCAGTCCATTTTTACATTGTTCTTAAGAAATGCATTTAACTTTGTCATGTACCGTTTGGTGATTGCACTCGCTGAAGTTGGCTTTCGAAATGATATGTGGTGTATTTTTTCTTTATTGTTTCATCCTGCTTGTCTCAGCTATAACCTTCTATGCTTTCAGGGTGTTTATGGGTACCCCATTGAGATACAAGCACTTTTCTTCATGGCTTTAAGATGTGCTCTGGTTCTGCTTAAGCAAGATGCTGAAGGGAAGGAGTTTGTGGAACGAATAGTTAAACGTCTTCATGCGTTAAGCTATCACATGAGAAGCTACTTTTGGCTAGACTTGAAGCAGCTCAATGATATATATAGATATAAAACAGAGGAGTATTCTCACACAGCAGTCAACAAGTTTAATGTAATCCCAGATTCTCTTCCCGAATGGGTTTTTGATTTCATGCCTCTGAAAGGTGGCTACTTTATAGGCAATGTTAGTCCTGCAAAAATGGATTTCCGTTGGTTTGGCTTGGGCAATTGCATTGCAATTCTTTCATCATTGGCAACTGAAGAGCAGTCAAATGCTATTATGGATCTTATAGAATCACGCTGGGAAGAATTGGTTGGAGAAATGCCTCTAAAGGTTTGCTATCCAGCCATAGAAAGCCATGAATGGAGAATTGTGACGGGATGTGATCCAAAAAACACAAGATGGAGTTACCATAATGGGGGATCTTGGCCAGGTATCTTCTCTACTTTTGTGTTATATATCCTCTTTCACAAATTCATTTGTGCAAACAAATTATATTTCCTATAAAACTGACCTTGAAGGAGGTACAGAAAAGGAAATATGTCTTTGTCTAAATCAGTTGTCATTGATTTTTATTTCTTCAGCATACCTGCTTATTACTTTCATTTTCAGCATCATATTCCTTGAATTGCTTTGATGATAAGATAATTTCAAGTTCATATGTTTCAGTATAGTATTTGATTTCATTCCGAGATGTTCACTTTGTGATTAATCCATTTTGGCTTTCTATGGCAATTGGTACAGTGCTTTTATGGCTTCTCACTGCTGCATGCATCAAGACTGGACGCCCCCAAATTGCAAGACGTGCCATTGAGATCGCTGAAACCAGGCTGCTGAAAGACAACTGGCCTGAATACTATGACGGGAAGGTCGGACGATTCATTGGGAAGCAGGCACGTAAGTTCCAGACTTGGTCAATCGCCGGCTACCTGGTGGCAAAAATGATGTTGGAAGATCCATCTCATCTGGGAATGATATCACTTGAGGAAGACAAACAACTGAAGCCCCCCTTGAGAAGGTCAAGTTCATGGACTTTCTGATGTGTTTCCAGCTCCCTTTCTGTCCCTCAGCAGTCCATTTTAGCTTTTCCGACATTGGATTCTTGATGGTGAGTACAAAGAGAGAGATTGATGATGAATCTTGCTACCTTTAGTTTCATGTTTCCTGTAGAAGGTGTGCTTTAGCATACAACATGTATCATGTCTTTTCTTTTTCCCCTCAAATTTTGCAATAATATGTTAAACTTTTCTTCCCCATTCCTTAGTTTTCCCTTGCTTCCCAAATTAAAAATAGGTTTTTGCTTTACAATAAGAAAAATGTTTTTCAAGACAAAAGCACCAAACTCAATTATATATTCATAACAACAGAGATTCCTAGGTAAAGTTTTTGATTGATGTGAAAACAAAGGCAGAGTGGTCCAGGTTGGGCTTGTGTTTTGGAAACAAACTGAAAGTAGAAACGAAAGAGATTTGTCTTTTGTTTTCTTTATGTTGAAGCCCAAGTCTTTTCCCATATAGATGATGTATGTTACGCAGGTTATGGTCATAAGTGAGTGAATTACATTTTCACCCTTGAGGTTTGGTGCAAATACATAGTTTGCCTCTAATTTTTGGAAACTAACTCGACACTCTCAATAAAGTTCCTGTTAATTATATTATATTATATGTAATGGTATGCGATGTGACTTCCATAATATATTTTCTAGTTCATCTTTTTCCCATTTATGTGATGTGACTTCCACATACTGCTTTCTCTTAATTTAATTAATATTCCTATTTTGATTGTGCACTAACTGACCCCCACCGTACTAATCCACTACTAGCTGACGTGGGAAATGTCATCTCTCTTAATTGCCACATCAGCTCCCTCCAAAAAGTTAAAAAAAAAAAAATTTCAAAATTTTAATTCTCTCCAAAATTAATAAAAAATCTCTGAAAGTAGAAACATAAACCCACCAGCCGTGTATCCTCTACCACCACCAGCTTCTCGTCGTCTTCCACTAGCCTGGCCACCGTCGTCCACCACCAGCACCGACCACCATCTTCCACCAGCACTCTTCATTTTCATTTGCTGAATTTATAAAAAATTGCTCCCAAATTAGAAACCATGGCTCCGTTTGGTTCATTATTCTGATAGTTTTTAGAATAATTTTTTGAAAAAAGTTAAATTGAGCGGGTATTACGATGTAAGATTTGAAAACTAATAAAAATATCCTCTATGTTTGTTTATTTACTAAACACCCCTATAATAAAATATTAAAAGTTAACAAAAATACTCTCAACCCACCCATTAAATACGAACAGCCGGCCACCACCGCCGGAGGGTGGCCGAAGTGTTTTTGCAATTTCTAAAAAAAAAATTTGGGGCTGTTTAATTAAATTAACAAATTTAGGAGGTTTAAAAGAAATTGAAAAATATAGAATAATATTTTGGGAATAATGACATTTTACTGTTTATTTTTTTTGGTAATAGTATTCCCAAAAACGAAACAAACAGAGCCCATAAGATTGAACCATCTTTTGCTTCATGGTATTATTTCTATAGCTTTAAAACATCGTCTAAGAACAATATAGGAGCTCAAGAGTCATGATAAAATGGTATAAATAAAATGTTGTATTTGTTAACATGCGTTGCTTATGTTGTGGTTTGACAATTGCTAGACTATTTCATTGCAAAATAGTTTATTTGTCTATTTGTTTCTTTTTATCGCAGGTTATGCTTTTTTGAAGTAGGAGACAAAAGAACAAGCCCTTGTGCCTCCTGATTGAGATTTTATCTCAAAAAATTGACCTCTTGGTTGCCTATTGCTAGCATTATTTTCTGCATTGTTCATGTTCAGGTATACATTTTTCACTTTCCTTATTGCATAATTTTATTAATGAATTAATATTAATTGTTTTTGAATTTATTTACATAATTGATGTACCTTTACAATGTATATAGATTATTGGTAATGTATATACAGTTGAAATGACCCTTTTTCATCATTCAAGTTGGTTCAGCAGACCATCACATCCAAAAACGAAAAGCTTTTTTGAACTTGGTCTTGGTGTTGCATCAAAGTACCAAAGATGGAAGAGTGTAGTAAAAAAAATCCAAACAACTCTTCTTCTCATTTCAATGTTGTGGAGATAATATTTTGTTTGTAATCTCTTTTTATTCACTAATATGATTTTAAATTTTTTATGGTATTGTTTCTATCCTTTTTGTTGTATTATTATATTTTAATTATGGCTATTATAATATCAATAAATTAGGATAATCATTTTGAAGAAATAGAAGATACAAGAAGTGCAGAAGAGGAATGGGAGCCTAAGCTTGGAATGATTTTTGATTCACTTGATAATCTTGTCCAACAATACAAAAGCTATGGGAATAAAATCGGTTTCGAAGTTATTATATGATCTTCAAAGAAAGGATATGATGGAGAGGAGAAAAACGCGACACTAGCTTGTCCTTGTAATGAGAAGTCGCGCAGTAACCCTGTAAATGCTTTTAAAATGCATCTAGTGACAAAAATCGACTGTAAGGCTCGAATTGGTGCAGCTGTATGTTCTGATGGCAAATGGAAAATATGTTCAGTTGTGTTTGATCATAACCATGAACTTAGTAGTCCTGTCAAAAGTAGATATTTCAGAAGCAATCAAATTATACAACCGTACATAAAAAGAAAGCTTGAAGTGAATGATAGGGTTGGGATTAGGCCAAAAAAAAATTTCAATTCCTTGTTAGTTGAAGCAGGCTGTGCTGAGAATTTGCCTTTCCTACAGAAAGATTGTAGGAACTACATTGAAAAAGTTAAGAGGTTATGACTTGGTGTTGGAGATGCTTCTGCAATCCAAATATATTTTTTGAAAATGCAAAATGAGAATTCTGATTTCTTCTACATAATGGATTTAGATAAAGAAGGTCGATTAAAGAATGTTTTATGGGTGGATGCAAGAAGTAGGAATGCATTTAAAGAGTTCGGTGATGTTGTGACTTTGGACACTACATATTTGACCAACAAGTATGATATGCCGTTTGGTGCTTTTGTTGCTGTTGATCATCATGGTCATTCGATACTATTAGGTTATGGGTTAATCTCCAACGAGGACACAAAGACATTTGTATGACTTTTTCAATCTTGGCTTGCATGTATGTTGAATTGTGCTCCTAAGGCAATAATCACTGATCAAGATAATGTAATGCAAAATGCAATCGAGATTGTGTTCCCTGGTATACGACATAGATGATGTTTGTGGCATATAATAAAGAAATTGCCTGAAAAATTTAGAGGTTATAGTCAATATGAACAGATTAAGTTTTTTTTTTTTGGCAAAATGCCGTGTATGATTCTTTGACATGTGAGGAGTTTGAAGAACGTTGGAATAGGTTCATTGATAAATACAACCTTTATGACAATGATTGGTTGCTTGGATTGCACAATGAAAGACGACGTTGGGTGCCAGCTTTTGTAGAAGATACTTTTTGGCCAGGTATGTCTACCACTCAACGTAGTGAAAGTATGCATGCATTCTTTGATGGCTATGTTAATTCAAAAACCACTTTAAAATAGTTTGTGGAACAATATGAGAATGCATTGCAGGATAAAGTAAAAAAAAGAAAAGGAGACTGATTTTAAATCTTTCAAATCATGGATCCCTTGCATAACCATTTATGCTATTGAGAAACAATTCCAAGATGCATATACTACTAAAAAATTCAAAGAGTTTCAATAAGAGCTAGTTGCCAAGGTCTATTGTGATTTATCTTCTTTCAAAGAGATTGGTTTATGTATGGAATTTATAATAGAAGAAGATGTTTTGGTTGGAGAGACTCACCGTCGTGTTTCTTTTGCGGTTTGCTTTGACGAAGCAACTTGTGATGTTCGTTGCAATTGTCAATTGTTTGAGTCTAGAGGAATTTTATGTCGACATGCAATTGTGGTGATTCATAAGCAAATTTCTCATGTACTAGAAAAATACATTTTAAGATGGTGGAGGAAAAATATAAACAGATACCATAGCAAGGTTAAAATAAGTCATAATAGTTAGAGCACCGATCTTGACAGATAACGATTTGATGAGTTGTCTAATTTATTCAGTGCTGTAGTAGATTTGGTGTCAAGCAATGAGGACGATTGTAATATGGTAAAAGAAATTATCAATGATATGAACAACAAATTGATGTCAAATAAAAGTGTCGGGATTGATAAAAGACTAAACATGTCAGGTAATAGTAGAATGATTTGTGAAGGTGGTGATGATACTTTGAAAGAAAGAAGCAGTAATAATCTTACTCCACGGGTTATTCGTAGTAAAGGTCGTCCCCCATTAAAAAAAAAGCAATCGAATATTGAAAAAATTGTTCGTAAAGTAAAAGGGAAGAAATTGCCACAGCAAGAAGTTGTTATGAGTTCGAATCCTAGTCTCACATTTGGATTTAATCAAGCAACTCAGGTAAGTAATTCATTTATGTTTCTTTGTCTAAGTTGATGTTTACATGTGAATTGTAGAAATGTATACAGCCCAAGATTGTTATTTTAGAATAACATGTACTATATATATGGAATGTAGTAACTATTAAATAAGATTTTAGATAATCTTGTTTCTTGGTTCTCTATTTTACTTTCTTTTTAGCTTTTGCTTCTGTTTTAAAAATTTCTCAGTCTACTAATGTGGTTGAGTTCTTGTTGTATGTTGCACGGGATCAAAAGAACTTGAGTTTCAGGAAGTTGGATGCTCATGTTCATCAGCTGAAGGGCAGCAACTCCAGGTGCTTACGATTCTTTAGTTTTCTTATAAAAATCATGTATCAATATGATTGTGTATGTATTTAACTACTTGTGTGTGGTTTCATTGCTGCTTGCCATATTTTTGCTCCCTTAATGTGGTAGGTTAAGATTGGTGCCTGCATATGCTAGTGATGTGAATGAGTTGCTCATGGATGTTGCATTGATAAATGATGCATGTCTTGGTTTTGGAGCACTAGAATTAACTTTCTAATATTCTATTAAGATGTTTATTAGCTGTAATTTTTTTCATGGCAGGTCTCCAACATTCAGCATTAATTTTAGGGAAGACTATTGGGTTGGTGCAGGATTTTCTGGTGCTACAGCTTTGTTTTTGTTCTTTGCAGTATTGGAAATTTACAGATTTTTGTAGTTTTAGCTTCTTGCAGTCTCTAGGACATTTTTGTAGTTAGTGTAGTTTTTTGTGTGTTAGATCTGCAGCTTGCATCTGCTCTTGAGGTGTTCTAGTGCTAGATCTATAGT